TATATATATATATATATATATATAGTTTTTTAAAAGAACATTCTTATGCTCACCAAGGCTGCATTTATTTAATCAAAAACACAGTAAAAACAGGAATATTGTGAAATATTATTACAATTCAAAATAACTGTTTTCTGTTTTAATATAGTTGAAATCTCATTTGATTCCTGTGATGGCAAAACTGAATTTTCAGCTGCCATTACTCCAGTCTTCACTGTCACATGATTCATGAACATTTATTATCATTATCAATGTTGAAAACGGGGCTTATATTTTTTGTGGAAACTGTGATATATATTTTTTTCAGGGTTCTTTGATGAATTAAAAAAAAACATAAATAGAGGAGCATAACAGCATCAATTTGAAATAGATTATTTATGTAACATTATAAAAAGTCTTTACTGTCACTTTTGATCAATTTAATGTGTCCTTGCTCAACAACAACAAAAAAATTCTTTAAAAAAAACTTACTGACTTCAATCTTTTGAACGGTAATGTATATTTATTGTATTAATCTGATATAATACAATTTTATTTTATTTTTATTTTTTGTGAAATATTTCCTTTGTTTAAAAAGTATCCTTTAGATTTTAAAATTATACATTTCATTTGATATTTTGCATATAATGCAATAACATTCATACATTTTTAAGCATGTTTTAAGTGTCTGAATACTTTTTTAGCCATTGTATATGCATGAGTGAAAACACGAGGAAAAAATATTTCAAAAGCCTCGAGACATGGTCTCAGTAATACATTTTTAACACTTATCATGTGACTAAATAATAGAAAAGACTGTCTAGCTTTGATCTCCTGCAGTTATGGCTTTACAGTCACACATGATGTATTATGATAAAAGTGAGGAACTGCTGGCCTTACTAGAGTTTTTCTGACATCTGTGACCCTTCAGAAGGAGTGGCCTGACCTCTGGTGGTAATGACAAACAAAAACTGGATGCATGAAACCTCCACTTAGATGCATTAAATTTGTATAAATCATGATTCCAGATCAAATCTAATCGGATGCGGAGTGATAAAAGTCCATGAACCCTCATGGAGAAGATAAGACTTTAATCAATAGATTATGAGAACATTGCTGATGAGTGGCATTTCAATATATACAGTGTCCTCATAAAGTATCTGGAAATTTATATCTCCAATTAAATGTATGAATGCCGTAACAAATGGCATTTATTGAAAAGAAAGATAAGCATAAGCAATTGACTCATAATCACCTTGAGACCACCTGGTTAAAAGTTAGTTCTGAGAAAAGTCTAATATCAGATGTTTGCAGATGCTTTGGGTTATATTTGGACTTAAAAGGAAGTAATCTAATCTTTATCACTTTAAAGTGTATTTTATTTACTTTTTCTACTGATTATCAGGGAACAAACTGAAAATACCTGCAGATATCGGGAGAGAAGAAGTACAGGGGTTCTTTCTTGTTCAGGAAAGGGTGGAAGGAGGAACCATCTGTTGACATATGAATACAAAATTAAATGTGATTAATGTGTGAAATATTACGTTTGTTGAACTCTATATCATATATCTTAGAACACACGGTGTCCTTGTAGAAGTGCTCAAAATCAATAGATGATTAATAATACTATAGTATGAGACCTGCACACTATTTCAACACGGTTTTAGGCAAACAGCTTTGGGACAAAAGTCATACTACATATCTGCATATATGTCAACAGCAATGTAATTACTTCACAATGAATTCCATATCAGTGTAATATGTTAGAGGTAAACTTGCCTGTTCCGTTTATCTTGTTGCAATAAGTGTCGTTCCAGTAACTCAGCGATCTGTACAACATTACGTTTTTGGATGAGATTGTTAGTCTGGGTTTTACTAATATTGTGTTGAAGCATGTGATTGATTGATTCATTGGTTATTAAATCATAAACAAAATTACTGACGGTTGGTTCTGTTAATACAGTATCTACATTTAAGGTCTGGGTCATTTTTAGAGAACAACAAACCTATTTACAACCCAAAGAACCATGTCAATATTCTCTGTTACATGAATTCATATACTTACGGTTCACCTGCCCAGCTTTCAATCGTGGCTACCTTATTGATGTCATCTTTGCCTGTGAATACAGTGTATGGTCCATCGATGGTGTCATTGTACTAAAAGAAACAACAACAACAAAAAACAGATAAATAAATAACACTATGAAGAGAACTTTTGTGGATTGGCTTGAAGGCTTATCTATAACAAGCTTTCATTAAACCATTCATGGTGTCTTTAAAGGAATGCACTCAGAACAATAATTTTGCTGAAAATATACTCACCCTCAGGCCATCCAAGAAGTAGATGAGTTTGTTCCTTCCTCAGAACAGATTTGGAGAAATGTAGCATTACATTTCTTTCTCAACAATTGAATGGGTGAATGGATGCCGTCGAAATGAGAGACCGAAAAGCTCATAAAAACATCACAATAACTCACAAATAATCCACACAATTCCATTCCGTTAATTATTGTTGTGTGATTCAAGAAATACATGTTTTTTAAAAAACAAATTCATCATTAAGTTGTTTTAACTTCAAACCTCTGTCCATAACAATGCTTCTTCCAGTAAAAAAGCCATTTCGTCTGAATCAGGAGAGAAATATGCTCAGATGAAACACTGTTTACAAGTGAAAACAGTCCAAAAGAGTTTTAAACATATGTAAGTGGATTTCACTGTGAGAGGACAACAGGGGATGGACTTTTTCACTGAGGGAAGCGTTATTATGGATTATGGACTCATATTTTGGCCAGAAGTGACAGTTTAAAGTTAAAACACCTTAAAGATGAATTTTAGTACAAACATGCAGCTTTTCACTTCACAAGACATTAATTGATGGACTTAATTGATGTTTTTATCAGCTGTTTGGACTCTCATTCTGACGGTACCCATTCACTGCAGAGGATCTACTGGTGAGCAAGTGATGCAGGTACATTTCTCCAAATCTTTTCAGATGAAGATACAAACTCCTCTACATATCCGAAAGGCCTGACGGTGAATAAATATTCAGCAAATTTTTTTGGGGGGTGAACTATCTACAGTATTCTAAGTTGTTTTTTTTATTCTTACATGCATCTTAAGTAATATATTTGCATATGTTACAAATGATTTTGCTCATTCACACTAAAAATGGTCTAATTGCATTTGAATATATTATATAGTTTATCAATCATGAAGCTTTAAGCATTCAAGTGAATGCCATGAAGCCTTACTGGATAAAAAACTCCAAGCGTGCTGCCCAGCATTGGGTCTTTGTAGCCCCACAACAATTCCTTAACAGTCCTGTTCTGGAAGAGTGTGGAACCGGAGCTCTGGATGAGCCAGTTTGCAAGTGTATGATTTAGTAAACTGTAAACACCCTGGAAAAGAAGAAAATAAAGTTCACATTGATCAAAGCATAAGCGTGAACCATAACCCGTCATAAATTCATCTGCCTAATCAAAACTTGGAATTAACAACACGAGTAAAATTTATTTGCATTTATTACCTCTAAAGCACTTTTATCCGACTGAACATCACTTATAATTATAAATATAATCTGTGACAGTGGATATGAGGTGATGATTATGCAGCATTGTTGGTTACATTTTAACATGGGTACTGTGCTGACTCTTGACAGAGAATCACAGATATCAACATTTTATCAATGATACGACAAACTTTAACTGACTTGCTTCACAGCTGACAACCAACGTTGAAGCAATGTTATCAATATCAGGGGTCAGCAACCTTAAGTGAAAAGAGTTTGTAAGAAATATTAATATTTCATGTATTTACTTTATTATTAATATACACTTACACTATTGTTTAAAGGGTTAGTTCACCCAAAAATGAAAATTAGCCCATAAATTACTCATCCTCAAGTCATCCTAGGTGTATATGACTTTCTTCTTTCAGACGAATCCAGTCGGAGTTATATTAAAAATTGTCTTTGATCTTTCAAGCTGTTTCATGGCACTCAGCGGGTGTTGCATGCTTCAATCCAAAACAAGTTAAATAAAAAGCACCCATCCATAAAAAAAAGTGTCTCACACGGCTCCGGGGGGTGAACAAAGGCCTCCTGTAGCGAATCGATGTGTTTTTTTGTAAGAAAAATATCCATATTCAAAGTCATATACACCTAGGATGACTTGAGGGTGAGTAATTTATGGGCTAATTTTCATTTTTGGGTGAACTAACCCTTTAACATGTTGGGATTGGTATGATTTTTTAATGCTTTTGCTGGAAGCCTCTTATGCTCACCAAGGCTGCATTTATTTGAAGTTACAGTAAAACAGTAACACTGTGAAATATTATTACAATTTAAAATAACTGTTTTCTAATGTTATACTTTAACGTAATTTATTTGAACATGCATTTAACTCTGATGCCAGAGCTGAATTTTCAGCAGCCATTACTCCAGTCTTAAGAAATATGCATCCCATTAACTCGCCATGGAGGACAAGGGAGGAAAACAGACAGAGAAGGACAGAAGGGCGAGAAAGATGGCAAGAGATGGTTGTCGAAATACATACTGCTACAGCTAGATTGAGCGATGTGAATACGTCCTCCTCTGTGCCTACTGACATGCTAGGCTCAAAGATGGCTCCCAACGGCAGCACAAAGGACACAGTGTAGTTATCAGTGAAGGTGATATTTGTTTTGGGGATAAAACGCGTCCTAGAGGACAACAGAGAGCATGAGAGCGTATTAAACCACAAAGAAATACATTATGAGCATTTAGTTAGGTTGTGTTTACTGGTCATATTACTGTATAGCAGAGAAAGGCCATACTTTAGAATGTATAACAGAAATGTCATGACAAGTAGATTATGAATAACATTTTTTGTTTTTATTAATTATTTGTATCCTTGGTAATTAAGTCAATTGATCCCCCTAATGTAATATAAAAGTGTATATATATATATATATAAATTAGTAATTAACAAAAACAGATAAAAGACAAAAATAAAATATAATAAAATTAAAAATTAAAACGTTCAATATTACTCACATTTCAGTAAACTACTCATTATATTACTTTAGAACTTTAGAACATTATATTACTTTTTTGTAACATTTGCCTTAATTAGATAAGCACCATCCCATCAGATAAATTTGGGCTTATCAGCATACAACAATTAAATGACAACAGCATGATAAAACTTTTGAACAAGCGTTGTTGATACTGCTTACGTTGATATTGTCTAATTTTAAGCACAAGTTTCAGAAGTAGTTAAAAATGGCCTATACTTTGGCAAACGACTGATGCTTTGGGATTCTTTCTGCTTTATTTCAGGTAGTTCAAGAGATAGGGATGTTTCGGAGTACATTTTAAAGCTCAAAGAGTGAATTTGCTCAATTTTACTTTCTCTACCTTTAAGAGATAAAGAAGAATGGTTTGTTTAGATGAGTATTGATTGAAAATCTATTTATATAGCAAGTCTTACCTGTACGTGTACGGTCCTTTCTGCACCAGCACAGGTTTGGCCCCTTGACTTAAAACGTCATCAGGGTTCTGCACGTCAAACAGCCAAAACTGCCTGTACATTGGCGTGTCTACAGACGTCCAGGTGTCAAATGCTAAAGTCCCGTTTTCCAACACTGTTTCCTTTAGAGACACAAAACATACTTGGTGTCAGATACTCTATACACTTTTATACTACATTGTGTACCATTCAAAATGGGGTAGGCTGGGGCAAGTTGTCACAATTCAGTGAATATTTCTCAATATGGTGTTATTTTCAGTCAATTTCTGTATAGGCAAACATCTTTAAGTCTACAATAATGCTACTGAACATTTCCAATGTTTTTTTTTTGCCTAAATACAGAAATAGAGCTTATTTAACACACACCGTCATTGACCTTGACACCATGAGGTAAGTTGAGAACCTGCTGTTTAAATACATTAAATATAAAATACTATCTAACATACACAATTTATCTTTATGTGAAATGTATTAGATGCTATTTAATGGCTTTTCAGCGAAATGTATAGTTTATTAAAGAGCAAAACACGTAAAATTCTAATCAATAAATTGCATTTAAAATACATGACAACTTGCCCCAACTATACATTTATTAAGAAATGCCCTTGACCCATAAACCCCATTTTATTTAATCTCATACATCATTGATAGTACGTTGTACCCTACATTGATTGTTCCTAAATTATTCAGAATATTTCTCCACAGCAACTTCATCATGTACTGTATATGCCTTTCTGGAAGATCTGCAAATGCATGTGCGCCGAATATTGATATAAAAAGACGACGACTTACCGTATGCACGGTGTTTTCAATTAACGTGTTGCCTACAGGGATGAGAATCCCGCCCAGCACGGCGATCAGGGCGCCCAGCACTGTCCCTGTGATGAGCCCGCATTTCAGATCACAGCAGGGCATGATGGCGAGCAGCAGCCTGGACCAACACTGACCGGCGGCGCGTCAGGTGCGAGCATGAGGTCGTCCTGGGAATTATGTAAGTTCCAGGGATCGAAGGTTGCAGAGGAGGAGATTTAGGACTGCGCATCACACCCGGAGACCCTAGTTAAAACGGAGTTATCTGAGCGCGATAACGCGCTGCTGGGCGGGGAGCGGGCGCGTAACGCACGGCATTCAGAAGCCAAGGCCAATGTCACCATCAGACGAGAGCTAAGCTTTAACACAGGTTAAGACTCAAGAGTGACTTTGACATATCTAATCGACTTCGAAAAGACTTGAGAGCCTTAGAAAGAGAGAAAGAAAAGGGGAAAGTACCATTTCTAGATTAAAAATAACAGTAATCACTGTGAATGTAATGTATTCTAATATATGTTTATTAAATGTTGATTTTAATTTACTTTTGAACATTCTATAATAGCTATCTAACAGCATAATTTCTCACAAAATAGAAAAGAAATAGAAGCACCATTTTATAGAACAGAGTATCAGATCACTAAAGCTGCAATTAACCAATCAGAATCAAGCATTTCAGGCAGTCATATGCGTGTATATACTGTACAGTTTTTACGTATAGCCTATAGTTTTTGTGTATATAGCTATACCAATCAGAACCAAGCAATCCAGACAACCATGTGAGGGGGGAAAACATACAATTTAGAATAGAAAATAGAATAGCAGACCACTGAATGTCCCAAATGACCAATCAGAATCAAGCACTTCATATTGAGCAATAAATAAAAATATGTTCATGCCCTGACATTTAAAATGATATTATATTTAGAAGCAGCGGTGGAAGTATAGCTTAGATAATGGACATATCAAATAGTAAACCAATAAAAAGTTCAAGGGTTGTTTTTATTAGTTATTGCTGCTCTGCATTATTGGACTACATTTTATATCACGTATTGCACTTCCCCTCTCACGTGTGCGCTCTCTCTCTCTCTCTCTCTCTCTCTCTCTCTCTCTCTCTCTCTCTCTCTCTCTCTCTCTCTCTCTCTCTCTCTCTCTCTCTCTCTCTCTCTCTCTCTCTCTCTGTGTTATAAAGAGAGAGTTGTATTTCAGCGTTATCTCTAAGTAATGTTATCAGAGTGAAGTTTTAGCTTGTATACAGTATACTGTCCTCTAGTGTTCATGGTTTTCAGTTTGTCTGCAAGACTGCAGTGTGTTGATGTTTCTTGACACGGCTGTCAGAGTGAATAAAGACAATGTAACTGTAGTTACATGTGGGGTTCTTGGGGTCCTTTCAGGGAATACACATAAAAACGGGCAGCTTGAATTTACTTAGTTGCTTTGGAGAAAAATAAGATACATACATCTAAATATAAATATAGACAAATATGCATCTCTTCTTTATTTTTAAATCGTGTAAAAGAAATTTGGATGAACTAGTATTTTCCCGTACAACCATTTCATATGAGCTTCATGCAACTACGTCTGCTAATTAAGCAGGAGAGCCAACGCAAGTTTATATAGACAGGGCACTAGAGGGCAGTGTTCAACTACTGGTGGCAAGTTGTACAAAATTTTGTGAATTTTCCTAGCTACTGCTGCCATAAAACAGTAGGTCTATAGCGTGACGTCACAGTAAACAGGGGCAGAAATTATTGCAATTTTCAGAAACACAGTTTAAATCACAATGACCTATCTGTCTGTATTACAGTAGCTAATCTTTTATATATTTATAGAATAACTATATTAGTGTCCACAGAACTATTATTGCTAGAGTTTAACTTCCCAGCATGTATAGAAGCATGATTTATTTATTTTTAAATAAAACTACATTTGTTGGCTGTCACCATTGTTGAGATATGCTTAGTGTGCATTATTATATTTTACCCTTTTATGAAAGATTATTTCTTAATACATTTATAAAAGTTTATATATTTTAAATGCTGACTCTTTAAAACAAGGTCTCATTTGTTAATGTTATCAATTAATATTTGATAATGTTAGTTAAAAATAGGCTACAATTGTATATTTTTCATGTTAGTTCACAGTGCATTGATGTACATTTTTGTTTTTAAAAATGTATTAGTAAATGCTGAAATTGACATTACCTAAGATTAATAAATGCTGTAGAAGCACTGTTCATTGTTAGTTTATGTTAACTAATATAATAACAACAAATAAAAGGTGTTGTAAAGTGTCATATGTCTGTAAAACATTGCCAAATATAGTGTAGATTACAGTTTTGATAGACTTATGATAGACAACATTTTTTAATATTCACAGGATTTTACTCGAAAATGTGGCACATTTTTCTAAAGCATACTAGCTAAATTGACAAAAGTCACCAAAAATGTCAAGTTTAACTCTCTAAACACATTATGTTCAGTTCCATAGTTTTGACAAACCCATTATTTTTATTATCACCTGGCTCATGTCCTTACTGAACTGTAGAACTGTCGCAGACAGTCACATACTTTGCATACAAGCTGTAATAGCCTCATGTGACATGTAAATGTGTGGTTACAGTGTTGTAACCCTTGGAGATCCAATGCAAATGCTCACTCAAAGCAGTTGTGTTTTCCCTGTAAGATCTGAGGTCACTGCCTAGTTTATCTGCTTTAACCTCACAGTCATGCTTGCATATTAAAAGGCTGATCCTCGACTGAGGAGTGATGGTGTAATGATTTTTGAGGCTCTTTCTGCAAGCTACGCAGGATTGTCAGCAGTGTTGATGTTTCAGTGAGGTGTGGTCACAGTTCATTTGACCTTGGAACATATGGTCCGTTGTGGCACTGGCATCTGTGATGAGTCTAGGACAAACTCATGAACCTGAGAAAACACAACTGGCACGCTGAGATGAATAGAATAGAATAGAATAGAATAGAAAATCCAGTAAACAAACACATGAGCATGCATAAGGAAATTGCATAAACATGCATGCAAGAACATGCATAAAATACTACATTCATAAATTAATTTATCCATTTAAAAAGTACAAAGTCAGTTATGTTAATATATTTTCACAGCTTACAAGCAACAGCTGCCAATATCCACCTTTTGAATGAATGAATGAATGGTATATTGACTAATGGTATATTGAATAGAGCATGAAAAGGAATAACATTATAAAAAAACAACAACAAAATAACATATTTGATTTATTGTTGTATTTTAAAAAAAAATTACTATAAGTTCTAATATGTCAAGCAAATCTACTCATTTGCAGATATACTATCATTTTTTAAAGAAGAGCAGGTAAGTTTTAATGTTCTAGCTCAAAGAGGCCTACAAGAAGGGTTTTGTGATTTGGTCCCATTTACCTTCTTCCCAGCATGCACTGGAGCATGAATAATTAATATGGCTGCATTGTTTAACCACTTGCCGCTTTTATTTACACTGTTGTTGATTTAGTTGCCATGTTTAGTTTACATTACCCTTGTCAGTTTGATTACTGTCACCCTTGCTGTGTTTCACATATTAAGTCTTGAGGCCTGATTGTAGTATATTTAAGTTATTGTTTTGTGTGTGTGTGTGTGTGTGTGTGTGTGTGTTTGATGATGAGTGTTTATGTGATGTTGTTAATAGTTTAACTCCATAAACCCTGACATACAAATAGTAGTCAGAAAGATCAAATACTTTGAAATGGAACAGTTTATTGAATCTTTGCATGTTTATTGAAAGTTTCCAAATGTGTGTTTTGTTTTGTATCGTATTTGATATATCAGGCTTTTATGGCCCATATGCGAATATGGAGCTTACACTCAAGAAGTAAAAATAAACATTCATTAATCCAATCATTTTTATTCAGAGGCCCAAACTGAGCAATTATTGTGTTTTTATTGCCAAAAAGTATAATGAAATGTAATGCAATAAAAAGATGAAGAGATGTAGTAATAAACGTTCGTCAAAAGCCCGATGTATCATATTTGATACATACATTGTATCATGATTTGTTTTAGAAAAAAGGATGAAAATTCAAGTAAGCTTAAGTTGCTTCAGTCCAGTAAGTGTTGATTTCGAAATATTATTATAAAAGTTATTCTTTTATAAATCATTAAATATTCACACAACAAAAAAACACAACCTGAAAGTAGTACATTTTTTAAAAGTATAAAGGCGTTTTAATTGCTAAAAAAGTATCAACTATCCATTAGAGGGCAGAAGGCAAGAAGATTGTGTACAAGATTTTCAGCAAAGTTTTGATCGTGCTGATAATTTAGAGGCCAGTAATTAATTTATCAATTCTAATATACCTGTAGGCTTTATAGGGTTAAGACATGAAGCATAACTCTCAATGACATGAGAAAACATATGTTGAAGCACAAAATATTGGATCATTTAAAACCATGTAACTGTTTGGCTAGAAACAATTTAAGAAATCTCTTGCTTGAAAATTTTAATCTAAACAAGTAACTATTATGGCAGGTTGTAAGCCATTTAAAAGTCATTAAGACAGCTTAACATAAGTTCAGCCAAGATATTTACTTAAGTACATGACTACAACAACATCGTACAACTCATTTTGACATAGTCAAACCAAAATGTAGTTATTCAGACACCAGATATCATTTTTAGTGGGTGCAGGACACTATAGTTCATTTATGTAAGTGTGGATAGCAAAATACAATAAACTGACATAATATACCCAAAAATTCGTAATACAGTGGGCTACCAGTAAAACTGATAAAAATTTGGGACCAAAAATTATTCAGACACTTTGACTTGACCATGTTTTGCTTAAAGTAATTAATGACAGAATTTTCATTTTTGGGTGAACTATCCCTTTAAGTGTTTTTCTTTAATTGCTAATGCGACCTTTTCACACATCATACTGAACAAAATGAAGCATTGCTTAGTAATTGGTCGACCCAAATTGGTATTATCTAATTGTTGTGTACTTAAATTTAACAGCTGACAGCTATTCAACCTAATTCATTACATACCTTTCTATCAAAGTAATCTGACATTATCAAGATGAATTTGTTCTGACACAGTTTAACTCTG